AATTTTCTGAAGAAGGGTCTAGGCCCGAAACGTCAGCTTTCCTTCTCCTCTGATGCTGCTTGGCCTGCTGTGTTCATCCAGCTTTACACCTTGTTATCTCAGATTCTCCAGCATCTGCAGTTCCTACTATCTCGGATCTTCAATTGTGTTCTGTTATCCTGGTTAATCTTTTATTGTACTGTTGAGAGCACCTCAAGGGCCAATTTTATAATCTGGAGAATGGAACTGCGTGTAATACTTTACCTGTGGACTAACAAAGGTTCTGTACAAGTTTAAGCATAATTTCACAGATTTTCAACTTTGTTCCTCCAAATATTAATTGTTTGTTTGCATTTGTGGTGGTCTTGTCTGTGTCTTCATGACCTCTTTTTGGATTATGAAATCCTGGATCATTTTGTCTCTGGAGGTAACGGGCAAATGAATACTTTATATGCAGAAATTTCATTAGATTTCCAGTATTTTTCTTCACTACTCGCTTGCAAGTAGGGTTTTGCAATTGTTATTAAAACTCTCTGGCAGAGTGAAGACAGCAATTACAAGTAGTTGTGTTCCTGTTGCACTAGTATGTGCATTATTCAAGACATTATTCAGTGTATTTCCTTACATTGTTGCTAAAATCAGTGCTCTCTTTCTCCAACTGCTTCTGTGCCTCCCAGCTTTTAGTATGAATATTCAGACATCCACAATGTTACTTGGACATGTTGTTTCAGAAGATTAGATATTTCAGTTGGGATTTCCCTCTCTGCTTATTACTGTCTGTCCTTTGTTAGTCTGGCAATTGTTGATGTAAGACTTAATAGATATAATAATTGGAGATAGTAGGAACTGCAGATGCTGGAGAATCCGAGACAACAAGGTGCAGGGCTGGATGAACACAGCAGGCCAAGCAGCATCATAGGAGCAGAGAGGCTGACGTTTCGGGCCTAGACCCTTCATCAGAATATAAGAATATAATATAATAATTGCTTGGGTTTGTTTTGCCACCCATTTTAGAAAATAGGTTGCAGTGTTGACCTATTTTCAATCCCTTGAGGAGACTCCTTTATTCATTGCCAAATGTAATGATGGCACTTTGAAGATTTACAGCTACGGGTATATATCATCCATCCTGGAGGCCTTCTTGATTTTGAGCGTGTCTACCACAATTTGCCAGTGATGTAGAAAAGTTTGGTTATAGTTAGTAATCTTTTTATGGCTCACACTCCAAGCAATAATTGTTTAATTTGATCCGTGTGCAAAGCTGGGAAAATTTTGAAGAGTGGTGTTTGACATTTGGTATTGCTGATGATTCAGTGCGGACTTGATTAGAAAATGCTGATAATAATTAAGTAAATCTTTGCACAGCTGGAATAATAAATGTGTTAAGCTTAAGTGGTTACTGTCAGCTTGACTTAACAGTTTCACTTTGTAGCATTCACACCACACAAATAGTAATTGATCACCATCTCCATCAAGAGAGAATGTGACCATCATACCTTGCTGTTCAGTAGCAGTAGCATTAGCATCACTGAATTCTCCCACTACCAACATGCTGCGATTTATCATTGACCAGAAATTGAACTGATTTTTCTTAGAATGGTGATACCAAACTTGAAGCAGTAACTATTTCTCACGGATGCTGCCAAACCTGCTGAGTTCTTTTCTTTTCAGCATTTCAGATTTCCAGCATCCATAGTATTATGCCTTTATTAGCTATTTATGTCACAGCTATAAAAACTAGGGATTCTGTGGCTGATAAGTTATGGTCTCCCTGGTGCCTGTCCACCACATACAAGTGCAAGTCACAAGTGTGATGAAATGTCATTCAGGCAAGTGGATAAGTGCAGCCTTAACAACATACTATTCAATAGTCTGTTTAATTGTCAACTCATCCACTGCCCACAATGTTCACTCCTTTCACCACCAAAGCAGTGTCAGAGTGTGTAATATCTGTAAGATGCAGTAATTTTACCAAGACTTTTTCAACAACTCCTTCCAAATCTGTGACCTGTACCATCTAGAATAAGTGTAGCAGATGAATGGAACACCACCATCTGTGCATTCCTCCTCAAGCCACAACCTGAGTCAAA